AATATTTAGCTTAAATGTATCTATCGATATAATATTACTTAATATTGTCCCAGAAGTAGGACAGATAAAAATCTAAGATTATTCTTAGTTTGGTGTGAACAGTTAGTTATATTTTATTAGCTAATACGCTAATATTTCGGCACTGATTGATACTCGTATTGATTCAGGTTTATGATGAAATGATATCACATTGTCTTTGATAAGTAAAAATGTCGAAAGCTTCTCAAGTGTATATTTAGATTTTATTTAAACATTTTACCATCCTAGAGTTTTTTAGCAGTGCTGAAAAAAAGCACACTAGCGACATCTAAGATATGATAATATCTCAGCTGATATTTATGTTTATGATTAAAATGAGATGTTAAATATTAAAAGCGTTTTGTCAGCTAAGGAAACGATTTATCCATGATATATTAGAACTTTGTTTTAAAATTTTTTGAGCATGGCTACCCGCGTCTCTAATTTTGATCTAGTGCTAAGACAGCTGGTCAACATAATCTACCACCAAATCTTAGGCTACTCTTGTCTGATCGAGTAGTGGGATTTGACCGTAACACACCAAGGCCCCAAAGTGCAGAGCAAATTTTTTCGGCAATAGATCGCGAAACAAAAACCCACAGATTTTAACTCAGAGCATGGTAGCCATTAGCCCAAGCTGGTATCTCAGAACTAGGCAAAAATTAAATAACAATAATAATATTATTTTCCTGTACGTGAAATATACAAAGAAAAATATATACACAAGTTTCGTCTAATATATTTGTGTAACGAACTTTATTGTTAAAAAATGAAAAATTTGAATATTTTGACTCACCGTGCGGGTTTGTTGTTTTTAAAGCAATATCTCAAACTAGAAAAAAAGATAGAACCTGCAATATGTAGCTTATTATTTTCCGTGTATCACGTTGAGTAAACCGAATTCCACAACAATATCACGTTTTCTCTATCACTATATTTTTTGTGTATTGATATTTCTTGAGAAATCTGCTTTTAAACATTATATAGTTGTAAGAATCAACATTTTTTTAACCATAAGATACAAACAGTGTAACTTTAATTACGCTCAACAAAGATTTAGTTCATTAATTCAATAATTACATTTATCAGTTTGCATTTGAATCTACAGATCAGCTGGCATAAGAGAACATTAAACTAGTCTGTATAAATATCCAATTGAGATCATCTTTATAGCAACCACTGTAAGAGCAAAATAAGTATATTTTTTGTTATTTCAATTGTCCTTGTCTAGGCAATTAGATTTTAGTTTTACTTTTTTCTATTACAAACTATATAGTAATGAAAATATAATAAAGTATTTGAAGAAAAAAAATCGCTAAATAAAAACGTTATGTACGGCTGGCTACTGAACTTGAATATAGGAACTAAACAAAATAGGGATGGAAGTGGACATATCGCTTGATCCGGCTGATGATCACATAGCAGGCTAAGCCGTCTCTACTTTACATGGGGAATAAAATTCCTGATAAAATTATAGTTACTGCTAGAACTAGGTAGGCGCTAGGCCTGTTGAAGAAAGATGATGATGAACGAAAATAGTAAATTTCGGGTTTGGCTATTCGCCTGTTTTCGAATTTGTGACGCTCTGGATAGCTGAAAAGCGACATATACACCGGAGATAGAGCGACTGTGCCAGGTAACTCTTCATATCTAACTTCTGATTACCTGTAGAGACGAAAATCCGGATTAATTTTGTTGTGCTTTAATATGAGCGTCCGTGCCATCCCTACATAGAAAGTGCTAGCACACTCTCTGATATTCGAAAGACCAAAGAAGATTCTACAATAAATAAATAAAACAAATATCAGTTATTGTGTAACACTTAAGATGTCTAATTAATAAGGAAACAAAGAATTTTCATTTGTGCAGTTATCTCGAACAATTTGAATGTAGATATTTAGTCTTTTCAGGAATGTTGATTTGTCCAATGAATGTTCCTTATATATATTGTATAATTCTTACAAGGAAAAAAATTAAAAGTTTCTATAACAATTTAACAGCAACTCTCATAAGTAAAGAAATTATGTTATGCCTTTCTGAATTAGTTAACTTTCATAAGATTAATTTGTTATGCATTTATTCGCAGGCACTAACTGGAACACGAAATGAGAACGTGGATTATCCTTGGTAAGTTAAAACACTACCATCTTTCAGTATACTTTTTCATCTGCTGATTCAGTTATCAGCTGCAGTTTTTTTTTCTAGATTGTTAAAGACAGAGTCACACAAAAATACTTATTAAATATGCGAAACGTACATAAATCAATAGCGACTTTCTTTGTGTAAGGCTGGCATTTTGAGACAGTGAAACCTTTTGGTAAAAGTGAAGGACAAAACATATTTTTCAAGCCACCTTGAACACCCGGTTGCCAGATAGAAAGGAACAATTAACTATATAAGAATAACCACAAATTACCAGTTCCCTAGTAAAAATTCTGAGTTACGTTATCCATACATTACAAGTCAAATGTTGCAGGTAGAGGGCGCTTCTAGATGTTAATCCAAATCACCATTAAGAATTCACTAAGCTCATAGTTTGTTTCTCGAGGTTAATCCTATACATTATTAATCATTTAGTAATCTCACAGTATACTTCTCGATGATGGAAATTAATTAAGCTCACAGTGTAGTTAGTTATTTATATCAGTCCATCACTAGTCTGTTTTAACACAATACTACATATAGTTTATCAAATTTTGTTATTGTAAAATTTACCGAGAACTATTAAAAACTTTAAACTTCAATGTTAGATTTGTTATTCTGATATCTAAATCCAAATATTTTGCTTTGTTTATGTGGAAGAGCTTTTTTTTTGTGGGGTGAGATTTAGTGAGTTGATTTATACGGCTGTGTTTAGAGTGAAATAGTATGATTACACACAAGTGAGATCGTAATAATTATATTTGAATGAGGTAGTGATAATTACAGTTTAGTGGGATATTTATAATTACATCAGAATGAGGTATTAATAACTTCATCTGAGCAAGGTAACAATAATTGCATTTGAGACAGAAATAACTACATTTGAGCGAAGTAGAAGTAATTACAATTGAGTGATATTAATTATATGAGAGTGATATGGTAATAGTTACATCTGAGTAATACAGTAATATTGATATCTGAATCTGATAGTATTAATTACCTCTAAGTGACATTGTAATGGGCCCGGCATGGCCAGGTGGTTAGGGCGCTCGACTCGCAATCTGAGGGTCCCGGGTTTGAATCCCCGTCACGCCAGACATGCTCGCCCTTTCAGCCGTGGGGGCGTTATAATGTGACGGTCAATCCCACTATTCGTTGGTAAAAGAGTAGCCCAAGAGTTGGCGGTGGGTGGTGATGACTAGCTGCCTTCCCTCTAGTCTTACACTGCTAAATTAGGGACGGCTGACGCAGATAGCCCTCGTGTAGCTTTGCGCGAAATTCAAAACAAACAGTGTAATAGTTACAATTAAGTTGGAAAAATAATGACATTTCAGTAAGATAGTAATAATTAAAATTAACTGAAATAGTAATAATTACATTTGAATGAGATAGTATACAATACATCAGAAAAAAGAGTAATAATTACATTTGAATGAGATAGTATACAATACATCAGAACGAAGAGTAATAATTACATTTGAATGAAATAGTAAGACCACTTCTCCGGGGGAAAGTAATAATTACATCTTAATGAAGTAGTAATAATTATTTTATGTTTTACAGTTGTGTGCAGTATAGCCGCTGTGACCGCTTTACCTCGGGTAAGTTTCACAATGAACTTTTGTTTCAATACTGTAATGTGGTTGATCGGTTTACTAATGAGCCATCTGTTATCATAAGTGTCTTGTGCTACGAAGCTGTACTGATTTATTACTTTAACAGAAATTGCCTAAAAGTGGAAATGTTGTCTGTTTTATTTAATGTTATCTTTTGTTTAGGCTCTGTTATATTTGTTCAGGTATTTACGTGTAAAGGGAAAAACTCATAATACAAGTCAATTCGTATGTTATCTGTTGATGATAGAAGAATCAATATTCTTATTGATTTATTTCTATCGGAATAAATTTCTAGTCAATCTGTTTGTAATATGGCTAACTTCGATACCAACAGCTCAAAAAAAGGAGTTAGCGATGCTACAAACAGATTGACTAGAAGTACGTGATGATACCAACAGCTCAATAAAAAAACCACTAGCTTCTAGTCAGTCTGTAACATCGCTAACTCCTTTTTTTGAGCTGTTGGTATCACCACTAGCTTCTAGTCAATCTGTTTGTAGCATCGCTAGCTCCTTTTTTTGAGCTGTTGGTATCACCACTAGCTTCTAGTCAGTCTGTAATATCGCTAACTCCTTTTTTTTGAGCTGTTGGTATCACCACTAGCTTCTAGTCAGTCTGTTTGTAACATCGCTAACTCCTTTTTCTTAGCTGTTTATATCACTACTAGCTTCTAAGCAATCTGTTAATATCTTGTCTAGTTCCATAGTAGGATATTTGTAGCATATACAACTTCTTTTAAATCTATTAGAATTCTCACCAGTTTCTTGGTGAGGTGTTTATAGCATCATTATTTTTGTTGATTTATGTTACAATTGTAACAATAAAAGGTTAACTAACCCTGTTGGCTTAGACTAGGATTTTAACCAATTGTTGGAACACTTTTAAATATTATAATTTTTTCTCACTCTGAGCTTTATTTAAAATCTTAAAACGATTGTAAGTAATCATTGTACACACGAATAACATCGATACGTAATGAACAATAGTAGATATGTTTATAAATGTTGATGTTTTTTATATTTTTTCATAATAGTGAACCATATATATTCAATGGCATAATATGTATATTTATAAATAACTATTAAGAGCTTATTTTCTAATACACCATATTTAAGTTTAAGAAAATATTTGATGTTAATAACGAATTTGGCTATACGTCTTAACTGTAATTGTGGATAATACAAGTATCCAATTAATATCATACAACTGACTTTAAATTTAATCATGCAATCTCCAGCATATTTTAACACATGGGTAAGCAAACTTTTTTTTTGGAAAATAAGTTTGTCAACTAAGATTGGTGGTAGATTAAATTCTTCTCGTATATAATTGTCAATATCTAACTAAGGAAACTAATTGGTTGGTAAACAAATTGTTGGTTCTCTTTAGCTCTGTCAATATTCTGAATAAAAGTACCTAAAAATACAGCATTGATTCAACTTCCTGATTTATTGCGAATTTGAAAATGGCAAAAATGTCATCAACATAACTATCATTACTTAAAAGTGATAACACATTCATATAGTATTAGTTTTCGTTCTTTCTCTTGGAGACACAATAATAAGTTGTCACCACTATCTTCTAAACCATACAAACTCTCTCAATCTGGTCCTAAATTTCACAATTAAAACTATTATCTGATTCTACTTTTGCAACTTAGTCGCTATCTGTTACTAGTAGAATATTGACAAAGTTGTTATTATTTCCTAAAATATTAAATACTTTCAACTCATAATATCTTCTATTATTATTTTATCCGAGTTTAATAAACACTAGATTTTTGTTACTCCTTAACTTTAAGTTCATCCAATTTTTCACTATCCTTTTTTTTTTGGAAAAATAAGTTTGTCGAATAAGATTGATGGTAGATTCAATTCTTCTCGTATATAATTGTCAATATCTAACTTTTCCTCTTTATTTCAGTTGTAAGTTATATAATGTGTACCCTTGCTGTATGTTTCACAAATAAGTGTATTTGATCTCTTTAGAATTCAGAGGAAGTGGCACAGTGTACTAACGCTCCAGGTTTTTTTTGCGTTAATGGTAACATCGGCCTTGAAGACACTCTCTTTCTGACATAACAGGACACAGAAAAGGCAGCTCCGTTACTAGAAGAAAGTCTTCCTCTTGTCAACAGGAAGCCTCAAATAGATATGTTTATGGCACCATTAGTCCCTTGTTGGCTTGTCGTAAAACTATTGATTCTTCGTGATCTGTTTGTATCACCACTAAACCCTTAATGGCATGTTTGTACCACCACTAAACCCTTGATGGGATGCTCGTAGCACCATTAAACCCTTGATGGCATGTTTGTACCAACACTAAACCCTTGATGGCGTGTTTGTACCACCACTAAACCCTTGATGGCATGTTTGTAGCACCATTAAACCCTTGATGGCGTGTTTGTACCACTACTAAACCCTTAATGGCATGTTTGTATCACCACTAAACCCTTGACGCCATGTTTGTAGCACCACTAAACCCTTGATGGCATGTTTCTACCACTACTAAACCCTTAATGGCATGTTTGTATCACCACTAAACCCTTGACACCATGTTTGTAGCACCACTAAACCCTTGATGGCATGTTTGTAGCACCACTATCTCCTTCTTATCCTGTTTGTAGAACAGTTAGCTTTTTATTGGATTGTTTGTAGCTCCATTAGGCCCTTCTTGATTTGTGTTTAGCACCATTTTTGTGTTGATTGCAGCCCCACCAAACCCTTAATGGCATGTTTGTAGCACCACTATCTCTTTCTTATCCTGTTTGTAGAACAGTTAGTTTTTTATTGGATTGTTTGTTGGATTGGCCATTAGGCCCTTCTTGATCTGTATTTAGCACCATTTTTGTGTTGTTTGCAGCACAACTATCTCCTTATTGGCTTATATGTTGCAACATTAAATATTTGTTGAAATATTTGTAACACAACTATCCCCTTATTGGCTTATATGTTGCAACATTAAATATTTGTTGAATTATTTGTAGCACCACTAGCCTCTTGTTAGCTTGTCGTTACACAACACGTTTCTTCGTAATCTGTTTCAAATACCACTCGTTCTTTATTGGCCTGTTTGTGGTGCTAACAGTTTCTTGTTGAACTGTGTTGAGCATTTTTAGCTCCTAGTCGATCCCTTCGCAACATCTTTAAGACCAATAAAGATAGTTATAATCGAAAATAGTTTTGCATGTTTTCTTTTTCTCTTTATTTCAATTGTAAGTTATAGAATGTGTACCTTTGCTGTATGTTTCACAAATCTGTGTAATTGATCTCTTTAGCATTCATTAGGTATTTTTATAAACATATTTTTCTTTTCAGTACAAACGAAGAGCATACGAGCTTCCAGATGGAGCTGAGTTACTTGTTGGAAATATTCGAACTACGTTTTCGTGCCCTGGGGATGGCTATTATGCTGACGTGGACAACGACTGTAAGATATTCCACGTTTGTCATACGGTCACTCACGCTAATGGTAAATCGGAGGTTCTGCAGTGGAGTTTCCTATGTGGAAATCTCACATTTTTTAACCAGTTAACCCTAACCTGTGGTTTTTCAGAGGAAACGGTACAGTGTACTAACGCTCCAGGCTTTTTTTACGTTAATGGTAACATCGGTCTTGAAGACACTCTCTTTCTGACAGAACAGGACATAGAAAAGGCAGCTCCGTTACTGGGAGGAAGTCTTCCTGCCCCCGCTGCTCTTCCTCCAGATTTACGTATTCTTGCAAATCAACCAGTCGAACTACCTATAGAGAAAGCACCGGAAGAACGTTAGATAGAAAATCAGGCATGGAACAACAAATATATAACATATAAGCTAGATTTCTCTGCTTGGTGGCTTGGGGATAAGCGAATGTCACGAAATGGATTTTATTCTTTTAATTAGATTAATCCCGGTTAAATGGGAAGCATGCTGACTAACTGGCGTAGAAGACTGTTATTATACTCATGAATGTTGACCACGTGCTTGTTTATAAATTGTGAATAAACCTACTTTATTCAGAATAGATTACTGAGATGCTAATGTTTCTTTTTTTTTCGGTTGTTACAAATCTGTACAGACATCAACACATAGTAAAGTTAACAAATAACAAAACTGAAACCCCAAAAGTCAAAAGAACATTAGAAAGAAGAACTACACAACGAGGTCACTTTCATAAAACAGCAACAACTGAGGTAAAACTCAAAGTTCACACAATCATTTCATTTACGATTTTAAGTAATTTAATGAAATTGATCATATAGTATAAATTAATGAATTTAATGAAACGCTAGAGTGTAAAATTAATAATGTTCATATGCAGAGAGTTGAGTACGTTATAATAAACAATTTAAAAATATGCCAAGGGGTAAGTCACGTGATAACCACAGCGGATATATATTCACCTTTTGGTAGTGTGTTGCCATCGACAATTGATCGCTTTTAGGAAGGTTATGTAACAAACTCTTTCGATTCAAAATATTCACACACGTTTGTGTGAATATGAACGTTTGTATGTATTCATGAGTTTTTATTGTTAGATCCTACGACAGTAACATCTTATAACTATGCATAATTCAGAATTTTAAAATCTTTTACTCCGTCATCTGTAACATCTTTTAAAGATCATAGTGAATTTGTAATGTTAGATTTTCTTCGATTCTATAACATCTTTACTAACAACATCTAATTATACACAGTTTTGGGTTTGAAATTGTTGGTTTTACACATTTAACTTTTCTTCTTTTTACATATAATTATGGATCATTAATATTAGATTCTCCACCTGAAACATCTTTTTTTTTAAACATAAGGATTTATAACATTAGTTCCTTCTGCGGTTACATTTTTTTACCATAAATATTAATGGACTTTTAATGTTAGATCAACTGTCATTGATAATTTCTAGCTGAACATAACAATGTTTTATTTGGGTTAATTTTTTCTCTCCTCCATTTTCAACTAGTGGCCACTTGGTTACAAGGCACGGCCCATTCAAGGAAAACAGGTTGAGGAAGTAAAAATCAAAGGTTGGCCAGTTCTTTCACCTGTATCGATGACTTAGAATATCATAGCACGCGGAGTAAGATTACAAAGAATAGTACACTATAGTTGATCATCAGCACACGCTTCGTTCTTTGCTGCGTTTCGTCTTAACTGAATAAAAGCATTAAGTTTGAGTAGTTGCTTCATGAAATGCTTTCACAGTAGGTCCACAGCAAAGTAAGAGGTGATAACCTGATAAATAACTCTTCTGGTGTAATATTTTTTTTTTAGTTTTCCCATACATATATGATCCATGGTAATCTCCCCCCTCCCCAGTGGTTCGGCGACAAATTTGAGGCTTATCACGCTAAAAATCGGGTTTCTATATCCGCGGTGGGCACAACATTGATAGCCCATTGTGTAGCTTTGCGCTTAACAATAAACAAACAAATCCACAATAGTTATCTGGATTACCTGAAATAAGCGCAGTTACCAGAAGGTTAACGCATTACCTGAAAGGGTTTGAAAACTGGCCTTACTCTGTGTGCGCGCTTTTCTAAAACAATGGAATTTCTGGTTTCGCTAAAAACAGAGAAAGATCGATACCTGTTAAGTTTATTTATCTGTTTTTATACTATGTTAATGCCACTAGGCCGTACCTTAAAGCTTAGGGTTACTGCACGTGCGAGAGCTTGTCTTCAACAGTTTACCTCATTCGTTTGGATTACGCTCCCCACATGTGAAATGTGAAATATTGTTTAGATCCAACTATTCTGAATAAATGTATTGTTTTTAAGTATAGCTTGAGATCTGGAGGGGGTGGGGATGTATTTTCATTAATGTGACTATATTTAACTTCGAAATTACTGACATGTTTTTTATACTGTTGAATACTGATGGGAGAAGAGTCCTTATATTGATTCGTATTGAGTGATGAACAATGGGGAAACCACTCACTTTGTATGGAAAATACATGACATCGTGTTATTGCTGTTACTTTAGCCAATTGATAACTGGATTCATCCGAACCTAAATTTAAACAGGATTTCTTGGCGCACACTTAGGAGTAAAAACTTAAAAACAAGTTAAAAGGTGACAAACCTGAGTATGTTGTTGTATCGTGACTTCATTACCAAAATTTCCCTCCGTTGTTGTTAATAAATGTGTTCAGTCTGTTTCGTAGTGAAAAAACGTAACTATTGAGAGTTCCTAAATGATGGTTCTACACTATTTTAGTTTACTATAGTCACACATTATGACTTGAGAACTTCATTCGTAGTTAATCACTGTTGTGTTTAGTCACACATTATGACTTGAGAACTTCATTCGTTGTTAGTCACTGTAATGTTTAGTCACACATTATGACTTGAGAACTTCATTCGTAGTTAGTCACTGTAATGTTTAGTCACACATTATGACTTGAGAACTTCATTCGTAGTTAATCACTGTTGTGTTTAGTCACACATTATGACTTGAGAACTTCATTCGTAGTTAATCACTGTTGTGTTTAGTCACACATTATGACTTGAGAACTTCATTCGTAGTTAGTCACTGTAATGTTTAGTCACACATTATGACTTGAGAACTTCATTCGTAGTTAGTCACTGTAATGTTTAGTCACATATTATGACTTGAGAACTTCATTCGTAGTTAGTCACTGTAATGTTTAGGCATACATTAAGAACTGAAAATTTCATTCATAGTTAGTCGCTGTAATGTTTATTCACACATTATGAACTGAAAATTTCATTCATAGTTAGTCACTGTAATTTTTAGGCATACATTAGGAACTGAAATATTCATTCATAGTTAGTCACTGTAATGTTTATTCACACATTATGAACTGAAAATGTCATTCATAGTTAGTCACTGTAATATTTATTCAGACATTATGAACTGAAACTTTCATTCATAGTTAGTCACTGTAATGTTTAGGCATACATTATGAACTGAAAACTTCATTCTTAGTTAGTCACTGTAATGTTTAGTCACACATTATAAACTGAAAATTTCATTCATAGTTAGTCACTGTAATGTTTAGGCATACATTAAGAACTGAAAATTTCATTCATAGTTAGTCACTGTAATGTTTAGTCACACATTATAAACTGAAGACTTCAGTTTTAGTGCTCTGTCACATGAAATCCAGAAACAACCTTTCTATGATATTAATTTATACATAAAACACCTTTTTTAAGGATATTAGGTCTGATGTGGAGACATCACAGTATGGCCAAGAAACATTAATTTTGTGAGACTCCCTATTATACGTATTATCCCAAAGAAACTTGTGTTTTATCGATTTAGTCGTTATTTACTATAAAACCTCCCTGGTGGCTCAACGATAAACCTGCAGGCTTAAGACCCTAAAAATTGGGCTTCGATACCCGTGATGGGCAGAGCACACATTGACCATTGTGTAGCTTTGCGCTTAAAAACAACCAATCCACTATAAAACATTCGCTTTGTGTACCATCTTAGTCATTGTTCACTATTAAACATGGCTTTTTTTGCAGGGTTCTTGCTATTCGCTTTGCTAGTTGGCTTATCTGCTATATACACAAAATGCATCTGTATAATGCATCTTGTTTACAGGCTTAATCGTTAATCACCATAAAACACACGTTTCGTTTGCCGTTTTAGTTGTTATTCATTATGAAACACTACAGGTTTGCTGGCTTTGTTGTTATTCACATAATGAAAACCACACGTTTTTTGTGGGTTTTTTTTCTGGTTTAATCGTAACTAAACGTTTATAAAAATAAACACGGAGTGTTCCCTACGTTAAATACTTTCTTTAAATTGCGAGTGTTCGGCAATGTATTGGACAATTTATATTCAGTTATCCGTGGAACACTTTTTAAAGGCATGTGTCTAAATTATAATTCTAACACTAGCTGACATCTAGTGTTAAATTAATTAACCACGTACAAACCGCTTGAAAAGAATTATGACAAGTACAGAATCAGCAGTCAAAGATTTCAACTTTAACATAGGTTCATGAATCGAAACCTTAGTCTTTGTAGCTGTATAACAATATCAATATCTTATACAATCTGATGTTTAAAATATTTAAGATCAAACAATTACGTCAATATAATAAACATAGGACAAATATAATAATAGGTGTTATATAGAAAAATAAAAATACAATAATAGGTGTTATATGGAAAAATAAAAATACAATAATAGGTGTTATAGTGGAAAAATAAAAATACAATAATAGGTGTTATATGGAAAAATAAAAATACAATAATAGGTGTTATGTGGAAAAATAAAAATACAATAATAGGTGTAAAAATGGTCAAATTTCAAATAACACATTATTGAATTATTGTTATGAGTAACCACAAAAGGAAAATTGAAGGTTTAATTGCACTTCGATATCACGACAAATGATACGTTTGATATCTTTGATACGCGGTGTCCACAAAATACTGAGTACTTTTAATGGCTGGAGACGGCTTGAATGGGTAATGAAGAAAACTTTAATATAAGTTTAACATAACAGCAAATGTACAACGTTTCGAGAAGGTTTTGCCATCATCAGGTACAAAACCTTGTCGAAACGTTGTACATTTGCTGTTATGTTAAACTTATATTAAAGTTTTTCTTCATTACCCATTCAAGCCGTCTCCAGCCATTATTAGTCTCAAAGTGGGTTCCTCGTCATCAAATACTGTGTACTTTGTTTTGGTTAAGACCCACTGGCGGTCCACTGTCTTGTTTGTGATTAGGCGACGATGGGTTCTTTGATCTTTCTTCGTTTGTTGTTTTTTCCCTCTCTGCCTATTATTTTTTAAGTATAT